AATCAGGAAGATAGTACGGGTCGGGTAAATGTAGTGGGAGCTGAAGATGCTGTAGGATTTCATGATACTCTAAAAGAGTATGTAGATATCCCGAGACTAAGTGAACTAGGCGAACTGTAACGCCCACGATCATTTATAGACCGGAAATGCTACTGACGAATACTTAGATGTCCGGTCAGAGYTTCCTGGAACATATCCAAATTRRCTAGACAAGACTTCRAAGCGTTCGTCCCCATTAGATACATCTCAAGGCTTGCCAACCCGAGACATACGCAATGGTTAGTTCGTCCGGACAAGGACTAGTATCACATGAAACCCGAATTTATGCAAACTCGATTTTTTTTTTTGGAGTGTAATTGTGAGTCTTATTTTGTAAATGTAATTGGAGTGCAATTATTTTGTAAATTGGAGTGCAATTATTTTGTAAATGAATAATGTTATATTATGTACACGAATTAACCAAGGCAAGACTTAGAGTTTTTTTAAGGGAAATTTGATGGTAAAGCCCACGGATCTTACCTAACTTGYAACTGAGCTTGSCGTGGACTATCTCTAGATRTTTTGGAGSTTAGCCWAAGTTGAACCTACGAATTTAAGATAGGTCGAGCCATCGGATCAAGAAACTAAGATTAGATTCATGATCAGCACGAAAAATCACATTGAAAATGGTAAGGTTCGATCACGGGAAACTTACCCTAAGTTTTCCCAAACCGGCTCGACAAGGCTCGCAGTGAAACTACTCTATGGTTCGCGGTGGACTAAAAAATGGACTACTCGGTTCGGATGGACTGATCGGATGGGACGATCACGAACTGGGCTACCGTTTGCAATAAAAATTTGCGGTGAAAAGAAGTTATGTTCGGACAAAGCAGAACTTCTCGTGTCCCTTGCTTACTAGGTCAGACCGACCCTTAAATAGGCGCATCCAAGCAGGTGAAGCAGCTGGACAGCTCACGGCCACTTGCCCATTCATCACCCGCGGGTAACGTCCTAGGCTCGACACGAGGTGGTGATGATGCCTAAGACCAGGCGTGTGCGCAACACGCACTGGCGTGTGGTCGACAGACTCGGGCACGACCCAGGCACGGGCTTACCCACGATCTACCCACGACCAGAGCAAGCACCCTGTTCGGTCACCAAGCAGCCTAGCACGCTGCTTACCTTGGCTTCTGCTGGGTCATTGTGCGGGTCATTACACGAACTCTTTGAGAAGCATTTTATTTCACCCGAAGACAGCTCTAAGGTTCTCTTTGTTCCATCAATGTGTTTCTTGTTCTATGTGTTTTCCCTAGAACACATTTTCCCTTTGGGTTGAAACCAACATTGTCATGTGTTTTCTTTTAGGCACCCTATGGAAGTGCTCTTAATATTAATACATCCTTGAATTTTGTTGGTGAGGTAAAGGAAGCCCATGCATGTGTTCCTTTTTGTTTCTTCTTTATTCAGGAGATGTGGATCATGTAAGATTGGCGTTTTAGCGGTTAAGTGACATATGATATTTCGTGGCTCTATGTGTTGTTGTAGGCTGTTAGAGACAAAGCTCATGATTCAAAAACCACCAAAGGAAGAGTCTTTTCTGGTCTTCAAAGGAGAAGGCGCCTTTGATTAAATGGTTGACAAGATAAAGTCAAATATAGAGTAAGGACATACTCATCACGTTTCTGTTACTTGAGAGATTAGGTGATGAATCATGTATTGTTGAAAGACAATGTTGTGTTATGCTTCTTTGCAGGTTTTATATTTTCTACTCCAAGTTTTCGGAACGATTGCTGTGGCTTTAGCCATCATATACGGTGTGGATTTTATAAGAAGGTGGAAGAAAAAGAACTTTGGTAACAACAGATAAGAGAATGTTAAATCGGACCGCGAAGAAACAGAAATAGGTCTCATTATAAGATCTAGTGAGCTTTCTTAAACAAGTTCTTATTGGGCCTGAAATGCCTAAAATAACTATAGAAGACCCTTTGTAGAGAATCTAGAGATGTGTTCATCTTCTGTAGATTTAATTTATTTTCAGTCAACAAAATATCTGCTATTTTTTTTTTTTTTTGGTCACACAAAATATCTGCTATTTATTTCCATTATTATACTAGTTTAATTTTCGTGGGATGGGTGGTATTTATCATTGGGTGATTTGCAACAATAATCAAAAAAAAATTATATTAGCAATTTAATAAAAATAACATGATATGAAGAAATATAACCCATTAGATTATAATCATTTAGTTATTTAGTGAATATAATTTTTTTAGGTTATTTTAGCCAATTTCCCTTTATCAATTTCTTAGCAAGTTACAATAATCGAGAGTGTATGAATGATGAATCTATGATATATTCACAATTCTGTTGGTATATAGTATGATTTTAGGATTTTATAAAAAAAATAACAGATTACATAATTTGTTTTAAAATGATGATTTTATATAAGAAAAAACTATAACAATTTTAATGCCTTTGATAATTTCATTATAAATTTTAGTAACAAATCTCAAAATAATTTTAAAAATAACTAATAAGTTTTTTTTTTCTTTTTTCAGAAATAACTAATAATTTAATGGGATAATTTGCGAACTAACCAAAAAAAATTATAATTAAAAGTAAATAAGGCAAAATATGAACCTTAAGAGATCCCAAG